TACCCCATTTGCACCGCAGCCTTTTGCCTGACCTTGGGCGCGACACCCCTCTCGGAGCCAAGTGTTCTCTGTGGCTAATGTCAGGCTTGGTGTCATAAAGTGCTGTTACCCATCTGTGTGCTGTGAAGTTTTTGTAGGCATGGTTCGTCGCACATCTGTCTCCTCCAGTCCTATGTTCTCTCTCTTTAACGGGACTCTCCTATTCTCTGTCGGTCCTCTTCCTTCTCTTCCCCTCCCCACACCCCTTCCCGCCCCTGTCCATAGTGTGAAGGTGGTAGTTACCCGGGATGGGCATCTTGGACAAGCCGGTCAGCTTTCAGGGTAATAAAGGGCCAACCCTTCTGAGATGTCACCATTTCTAGAACTAAGTCCTTTCTAGCTATTAAGTAGGCACATTTTATTAGCTCGTGAACAGCCAGTTTATTGTGGCCATTAAATTGGAGTAATGAGAGTTGCAGCTGTCTATAGCGGCTTTCACAATTGTGTGTGGTGCTGTCCAACCCAAGCTACAGCCGCCTTTGCAGTTCCCTTAGTGACTGCGTTTGTGTTTATTTTAGTGGCTTGAACGACAGGTCATTTACATTTCTTCCTAAATCTTTCCCAGCTGCCCGTGGGGACTCTGATCTTTCCAATGTTGTTTACAACTTTCACTTACCTGAAGTTACGTTTTTAAAAGATATCTTGTGAAACTTGCACTCGCAGCAGAATTGGTTGAAGTTAAGGTTCTTGGGGTATTTTACAACATGGGCTAATGGGAGTTAACGAAATTTCATATTTGAACATTGCACAAAATAGACAGGTTGGAGGTGTAGAAATTGGATTGTGTACTTTGTAGACCAGTTACTGGTAGGGCACACTGGCTTCTGACTTGAGAGCAGGAGGAGAGAACAACAGTGAATGAAGAGGTAATTTCACTTGGAATTTGTTCAACAACAATTAACTTGAGTGTCTCAGCATTTGATTGGTTGACAGATTAGAACTCTTAAGCTGAATGTAATGGGTGTATACCTTTAGTCCCAGCACTTGAAAAGCAGAAGCAGACGGATCTCTGTGAGTTCGAGGCCAGCCTGGTCTACATAGTGAGTTCTCGGACAGGATTACACACAGAAACCCTATTTCAAAAAATAAAAAATCAGAACTCCGTAGCCCTGATAATTGACATGCTTTAAAACGAAGCCCTTTACAAGAATGGAAGAGTAGGCATGTGTAGCCCCAGGATCTAAGAGTTAGAGATGGAGATGAGAGGATCAAAAGTTTGGGTTACCTCAAGCAAAACAAAACAAAATGGAAAAGTATTACTGTTAATGGAATGACCCTCGGTTCAAAAGTATATGTGAAACTTTAAGAATGATTTTGACTAGTCATGGACAGGATATTATGTTCTTAGTGAAATTATTACTTGCTTGCTTAAACTTAAGTGATATAAAACAATATGATAACAATATTAACCTGAAGAAATGAGACTAGAAGTTAGTCTCTACTGAAGTAACATCTGGGGTGTATTGGACTTGGTTTTGCTGTCCACTCCAGAACTTCTTTGCTTCAGTCCATGCTGAACAATGACATATGATGGTTTTCTAAAGGCAGCTTTTGAGAGACATTTCTTAAAAGTGTTTTGGTTATAAAAGTAGCATTGCTTTAAAAAAGATTTATCTTTATTTGTGTGCCTGCCCCATGTGTGCATGTAGAGGCCAGAAGAGCATCAGATACCATGGAGCTGGAGTTACGGTTGGTTATGAGTGGCCCAAGACAGGTGCCAGGAACTGAACTCAAGTCCTAGAAGAGTGGCATGTGCTCTTAACCACTGAGGCCATCTCTTCACCCTGTATACACTTCCTAAAGAATGCTTTCAAGCACAAGAACAAAGCAGAACACATAAAATGAAAACTGATCTCCAGGGCAGAGCAAACATTGACACCTTACCATGGGACACTTCCATTTTAACAGCTGAGGAGAATTTAAATCCACTGTGAATATTGTTGAGATATAAAATTTAGGGGGAACAGGCCTGCTCTCTACACTGCAAGTTGGGTTGAAGTTTTCCGAAGCTACCCACATGGTCATGGTTCACAGGAAGGACTCAACTCACTGAAGGAAATAACATCTAGTTGGTTTATTATAGAAAAAGGCCGCAAATTAGTTAGTCAAGAGAAGAGAACAGAATCTAGGGAAGTCTCAAATATCAGCATCTGTCCTCATCCCTGTGGGTCCCCAGCTCCCTGACATTGCTGTATGACATTCTGTATGGAGTATTGCCAACTCAAGCCTCCTCTGATGAGGGGTGTGATTGGTTAATGGAGCAATAGGCAGCCTTACTTCCAGGTGGATGGATATTGTGACACCCAGAGCCTCAAAGCTCATCATATTGTTAGGTTTTTGTTTTGTTTTGACTCTTCCTACTTGAAAATGTAATACTTTGCTTTGCCATTGCCTAATGACTGTCCCTTCTAAATCATGGAAGAAACAAAGGTCAGTGGGAGAGCTGTGCCAATTCCATGCCCTTTCTGTCTAAAAGGTCTCTGAAGTAGAGTATGGTAGTATTGTCTGCAGTCCTGGCTCCAGAGCCTGAGACAGATGGATTGCTTGGGCCCAGGAGTTTGAGATAGCCTGAGCAACACAGCAGATCTTTGTCTGGCTTCTTTGTTCTCCATGTTGCATTTTTTTGCTGCTATCTGCAAACTTTGTCTTGCTTATCTGAGCCCTGCTTACTTACTGCTGAATTCCATTGCTATAAACATTCCATAGAATTCTGTTACTTCTGGAATGAAATCCAAATGTCTTATTGGCACAGCACCTGATCATTTTAAAAATACTATATTCAATCATGACTTGAAGATAGTGGGTGCTTGAAAATTGGTGAATGAATACTTGTAGTAGGCAGAGAGAATGAATGTGAATTTTAATTGGAAGAAGGAGCCCAGAGTAGCTCTCCAAATGAGCACCTTGTGGGAGAGGTGGAAGGACTGAGCCTTGGCAAGTCTGGAGGAGAGTTCAGGAGAGCAGCCCTGGAGGGATTTGGAACAGATGAATTTGGGGAATGGAGTTGAGATTTTGAACAATAACTTTCCTGGGATCCTTGTCATCTCTTCGGAAAGAATTCAGATGAGACACATCATAGTGTGGAACACTCCCAAGGGACCAGAGAGCTGGTCATGTTGCCCACACCTTTAGACAGGCCTCGTGCTAGGCTACTGAAGTCTCTGGAACAGAAAGCTTTCCTGAGAGGTGCCTTCCTTCACAGGTGATTGACAGGCCACTGTATTAATCCTTAAGGGACAGGCGAGGTGTGTCTTCATTCTTTACCAGGAAGCCTCTGCTGGTTAGAAATCCTAGATCTTTCTGGAAGTTCAGAAATCCATGTCTCCACCCAGGGCCAGAGATAATAACTCATCCCATTCTTGCCAGATCTGAATCCTGCAGCTTCAGCTCCTGGTTTTCCAAGTTTCCGATTGGGAAGGGTGGGTCTGTCCTCGATGGCCTTTGAACCTGCCAACTAACTAGCCAACTAAGGTCAAGTTGTTGGGACCTAGTGCCCAGAGGCTTGAGTTCCACAGAGTGAGGACTACCTTCACATGCATCATGGAGTGGTAGTGACAAGGACCAGAGCCATAAGTAGGTGTGTCCTCTGGCATACAGGAGAGCAGAGGTATTGTACATGCAGGTTGAAAGCCTCTGATGAAATCCTGCTGCTTAAGGAAGCCAGGCTCTGTGCTTAGAGCACAGTGGAGAGCTCTGGCCACCAGCTAGAGAAGTGTCGGTCTCTCTGGGGACAAACTTTCAAAGTGTCATTGAGATGTTTTGAATTTCAGAATTCTGCTGTTCTGTAGAGTGCTCTTTTGCAAGCCTGGGTTCTGGAGGGAGGGTGTGTCAGCAGGAGAGCACAGCAGTGGAGGCAGAGTGGCCCCAACCTCATATTCACAGGGTGTATTTGAATGGCCCATCTCTAAGGCTTGGCTCCTCTTCTAACAGCAGTGCTCTGTGTTTAGTGAGCTTCACTGACACAAGCTGCCTTGAGCATCCTCCTTGCCCCACTTTTTCTCCCAACCTCAAGCATCCTCCCTATCCCCCACCCATCCAACAACATGCAATGTCCACCCCACTTTTCTCTTTCACTCACCAGTGTTCTAGAATGTAGGGAAATGGTCAAGAACTGCTCTGATGAAGATGTGGTGGGAAACGAGCAGCAAGGGAGAAAGAAGCCAGCAAGAGGGGTGTGTACAGACTCTGGGTGACTGTGACTGCGGGCTGTGCACAGGGAGCGTGGGACTGAGAGGACCTGGTTCTCCAGGGATCGCACTGAATGCAAGTGGGGCAGGCTGGTCAGGAAAATAGAGGCATTGAGTCTGCAAGGGGACTGGTAGTAGGCAAGCGAGGTGTACAGTGCAGGATCTGGGTGGACAGTGGGGGGAGGCAGAGATGTGGTCAGTTTGGGGATGGTTCCGGGGGTCCAGACTACAGCACTTGCCAATGGCTTACATGTAGGGCTGGAGGAAGAGGCCAGTGAAGGTGAGTTCTTAGTATTTGACCTTGGTGGCTACGTAGTGTAATGTTGTTTATTGAAATAGGAATGGGTGAAATTTTAACAGTGGGGTTTCTGCTCCCATCCTCCTGCAGTGGAATTCACTAGTAACCAGTTGATTTGACTGTGATGTCACCAGTATGGGTACTTTCTAGATTCAGTTCTCCTTTCCAACTTCCTGGGCCTGTGATCCCCAAGATGTCACTTCAGAGAACATGGAAGTAAAGAAGTCAGGACCCTAGCCAGGCAATGGTGGCCCATGCCTTTAATCCTAGCACTTGGGAGGCAGAGGCAGGAAGATCTCTATGAGTTCCAGGCCAGCCTGGTCTACAAAGCAAGTTCTGGTATGGCCAGGGCTATTACACAGAGAAACCCTGCTTCAAAAAACCTTAAAAAAAAAAAGCCAGGACCCATCCTGGGTGCTCCCCCAGTTGGAGACCTGTGGGCAAGTGTTGCTGCTGCTGAGGGGAAAGCCCAGTTGGTGCCTTCTACCCTTAAGGTGGCTCCTCCTCCTGTCCTCTGCTTCCGTGTCTGTATCCACCACTTGCAACCTTTGTGACCCACAGTGTTCCAAGTGCTGTTTTATTGTGACTAAGTATTTTTAAAATACTGCTAGAAAGGTTAAATGAGGCTACTCACTGCTTGCAGTATACAGGACTTGCCAGTGTGTTGACATTTGGCTTTTGTTGAATGTGTCTATATTTTCTTCAAGCTTAATGGTTTTTTAGACTTAGTAATTAGAGGAGAAAATAATGGATTCAAGTGCATAGGTGATCAGCATGGTGCGGGAGGCCAGTGTGCACACTCAAGACTGTGCCCTGGAGTGAACAGTGCTTTGGAAGCACTTGTCACGAACAACCCTTGCTAGGTCACACAGGCGGTTCATTTGCCACATTGAATGTGGGTTGGCTCCCTTTGAAGTCGTCCCCACCCTGACTTAGGTGCCCTTCTCACCTGGCTGGTGACATGCCCAGGACATTTATCAAAGGCATAGGTATACTTGACCACATGGAGGAGTCTATTGTCCTGATGGGTGCCCCCTCTGAACGTTCAAGATCCCCACTGCCACCCAGTCTTAAGGAGTCCTGTGTCTTCCCTCACTCTGAATCTGCTGTTGGGTCTCCTCAGTACCTGGGGCACCTTCAGGTTCTCTGCTATCTGCATTTCAGGCATCCGCCTCTCCATCCTGGACTCTGATTTGCAATTCCAGGCCAAGCCTTGAATTCCTTCTACTTATGTCCATGTGTACACATAGCCTGAAGTCACAGATCAGAGTAAATGAAAGGCAGCCTTGGCTCACAAATGCACTGATCAGGATGTGGCTTCTACTGAAGTGTTTTCCTCCAGCCCCGCCTCAGTCCTTGGACTGGGCATTTTACCCCTGCTTCTTTTCTAATGGAAGCCTCACAGATGCACAGGAAAACACATATTTAAAATGTATACTTCATCAGTTTAAAGTAACTCATGAATTTTTAATGCATGGTCTCACAATGTAGCCCAGGCTAACCTCAAATTCGAGGCAGTCCTGCTTTGGGCTCCTGAGTGCTGGGGTTCCAGCTGTGTGCCACCACAGTGGGCTACTCAGTTATTTTTGCTTTGATAAATTCATGTACCCATGTCCCTTGCTTCAGCTAGGAGGCAACCTCAGTCTCTTGAGCTGGAACTTGTTCCGGTTTCTTCAGAAACCTGTTGGTTTGTCTGGTGTGTAGTCCCACATGTTAGATACAAATCCAGATGCCTGAATCTTTCAAGAAAGCTCCAGGACCCAGGTATGTATGGTGGCACATGTTTTTGATCCTAGCACTTGGGAGGCAGAGGCAGGCAAATCTTTATGAGTCTGAAGCCATTCAGGTCTATACTATGAGACTCAGGAGACCCTGAGTGAGGGCCACCTGCAGATGGAGTCTCCGTGGCTAGTGAGAACAGGCTATTGCTGGACATAAGGTGAGCCAGCTGTGTTCTGCCTATCTCTGGATCTTTCTTTTCTTTCTTGTTTTTGAGACAGGGTCTCTTCTGGATTTGTATCTAACATGAGGAGGGTAAAACAGACTAAAGTAAGTTATTGTTGGCTTGGGTTCTGTGTCTTGATGGCTTGAGCCCATGAGGTAGAAGCCAGACTGGACAACTTACAATACCTTATCTCAAAAACATAAATAATAATTTTGTTTCTAGGGTTAATCTGCTAGTGATCAGAACATAGAAGCCCAGTGACTTCATTGCTATGGACAGTCCCAAGTACAGAGCCACAGTGTTGCTATAGGTTGTGTATAAGACATCTAGAGTTCACAGACTATGTGCTTCGCGCTGCTGTCACACAGCAAGTAACCTGTCATTGAATTTATTGTCTTGCAGGCCACATCACAAAAGACAGCATGCGCCTTACAGTCCTGAAAAAAAGGCACAAGTGCTCCCATGATGCTTAGAAGCATTCTGTAAGGTGAGTCTGTGGCTGGTGTATGTGTGTGACAGGGCCTCACTCTAGCTAAGACTGACTTCAAACTCCCCATCCTCTTGTCACAGCCTCCTGAGTGCTGGAATGATGGGAACAAGCCACCAGTCCAGCTCATGTGACTCTTGGCTTAGTGCACAGTATCCCTTTCTAGCTGATAAGAGTGTGTATGGTGTCAAGCCTAGAGGCAGCTGCAGGCTGAGGCCTCCCTTTCGACCTGTCTGCTTGCCTTTGCTCCAGGAAGGAGGCTGCTGATTGATACTTAGCCTTTGGCCAGAACCACAAGACACTACAAGACAAAAGGAAGAGCTGCCAGTGTGGCTGTCACCAGGGCTAATGGAGATTTGTGATGTTAATTGTAGTACCTAGGAGCCAGTGCTTTTACTCACAGCAGGAACAAAGAGCTTTACTCAGTGTGGGGTATAGTCTCGGAGCAGATAAACCCCATTTATTCGCTTGGTAGGAATGGAAAATGGTGCTTTTTCTGTCACTTCGCTGACACCAGTATTCTCGGGGCTCTTCCAGAATCGACCATCAAGAGTATGGCAACAGCAGACATTAGTGTTTGTTATATGGGACATGGCTCCTGGTGGGTGCTGTGGCCCAGCATCACATTTCTTGGTGCTAGCCATGTTTTTATGTTTTACCTCCTTTCCCAGAGCACTAATGCAGTGGACACAGTGATTTGGGATGGTGCACACACACAGATAGCTGCAGACCTGCTGTGGTCAGTGACTGCCTTCTTTCAGATTTTCTACAGGCATGGCAGCACATGCTTGTCATCCTAGCATTTGGTGGGTAAAGGCTGGAGGGTCAGGAGTTCAAGGACAGCCTGAGCTACATAGAGTTCAAGGACAGCCTGACCTACATGAGACCTTGTCTCAAAAGAAAAGAAAAAGGGAAATGAAGTGATACCTGGATCTTGGGCTATTTTCCTTCTTTGGTGCCCATGGAGTTTGCAAGTGTGCAACTCCAGGGAAACATGTTATACACTACCGTCCTGATATGCACATCTAAATATCCTGCCACAGCCATTGTTAGGTATATCTGGGGATGCCATTCTTACATGGATATCCCTGCCACCCCATACCCCAAGAAGAGCAGAGCACTCCATGCCCTGGCAGCTCTCATGGGACCTGAGCCAGGAAACACAGCAGAGCTGGAACTACTCAGTAGTGGCTGTGCACCCTGCCCTCTGGGGAGACCTCAGGCTGTAAACATGGAATTCTGACCCAAGAACCCCTTGTCCCTCCATGTTAGCCAAGCTGTTGCTCACAGAGCATGCCTTGCAGAGGAAACCACAAAACAAAGGGGTCCTGGCCTGTAGAATCCTTCAGCTGGAGACCTTGATGTTCCTGGGCCCAGTTACAGTTTGTTTACATAATTGGCAATCAGCTCGGGGTGGTAGCGCATGCACTTGGGAAGCAGAGGCAGGTGTGTCTCTGTGAGATTGAGGCAAATCCAGTCCACATAGCCAGTTCCAGGCCAGCCAGGGCTATACAGTGAAACAGTGTTTTAAAAAGAAAAAACGGCTGGGCAGTGGTGGCATACACCTTTAATCCTACCACTTGGGAGACAGAGGCAGGCGGATCTTTGTGAGTTCGAGACCAGCCTGGTCTACAAGAGTTACTTCCAGGACAGCCTCCAAAGCCACAGAGAAACACTGTCTCGAGAAACAAAAAACAAACAAACAAATAAATAAATAAATAAATAAATAAATAAATAAATAAGCAGCAGCTGGGGAGAAGATAGTGGGAATCACTGGAGAGTGTCACATCTGCCTGTAAGTAGATGTGTGTAGGTGTCCTCTGTCTCAGCGTGTTGATGTCAGGCTGGTAGCAGGTAAGGCAGGTGGGTGGAAGCTAGCTGGTGGACATACTGGGAGCTCAGATGAGACAGCCACCCAGCCTCTTGTTGGCCTCTCAGAACCAGGCTCATCCAGTGGTGCCTGAGGCTCTGAGACCCCAGTCACAGTGTTCAGGAAGGAGGGTGTTTGCAGGCAAGAGAAGCAAGGCCCTGAGTGGCTTACAGGGCCTGCCTGGGAAAGCTACCTGTGAGCGTGAGGAGGGCAGCCCTGGCCTGTGCAGATATCCCCATTCTTCTCTCTTCTATTACACCCAACATCACTGTGAAGCTCTTTTGCTTTGCTGGCTTTGGAAACAATGGTGTCTCTTCTTGCCCTGGTCTGTGCTGCGTGTCAAAGTTCTGCACTCTGAAGTGGGGACACCCATTGGCAAGTGTGTTCCACTTACAGTTAAGGAAAAATGTATGTGCAGATTTGAAAGGCCATGCTGCTGATTGGTGGCATCTCAGGAACAGCCACCCCCACCCCTTTGCCCACCTCGAAGCTGCTCTGGAGGGGGCAGGTTCACTTTAGTGCCCATTAGCATTTCCTTTCCATGTACCAAGGCCAGGACACAGCCAGACTCCCTCCCCTCACTGCTTGTCATGAGTGTTTCCACCCTTAGCAAACACGATAAGAGAAGGACTAGCCGGGCAGGCCAGGCACCGCAGGCAGAGCAGTTCCTACTAAAGACTCCAGCTCTTTGGCTTCTCTGACCTATGTGCTCTTGGCAGTCGGAAGCCACAGGAAGTACAGGAAAAGTCTGGAAAGAACGAATGGATTCATAAACAGGAGACCTTATGAAGGTTAAAAATTATATGCTAGAAGCGGCATATAATTGAGATCTGAGGTGAAAACAGGAGCTGTCTACAAAAGCTGTCTCACACCTTCTGCATTGACCTGAGGAAGAGGAAGCTGAGGCGGTGGAGGGAAGCAGCTCAGCCTGGTGAGCCTGTAGGAGGGGAGGAGAGGACATCCTTTGCCCATGCTTCCTTCCCTATGCCTTGATGAAATCTGTATTGAGAGGGTGAAAGCCCTGTCTAGAGCACGGACAGGTCAGGTCAGTGGGGACAGCAGTGTCCAACAGGGTCTCCTATGTTGTGCTGGGTGCTGTGATTCTGTATGGCTGGTGGCCTTACATTATCTCTGTATGCGGTAGTTGACAGCTTTGCATATATAGGGAAACTCTACACTGAGACCCCTTGGGTCCCACACAGACCAGGACAGTGAAGTAACAAAGGCAGCGACTGAGCCCTCAGCTAGTTTGGTACTTTGTTCTTTGCTGCTCAGTGTATTTGAGCTGAGTGTGTTTGCACATATGGCTCATCATGTTCAAGTGTGTATGTGTTTGCGTGTTTGGGCCCAGGAGCCTCACCAGCTCTCACCCCTCTGCAGGGTTTGTCAGGGAATCATGCAGCCGTCAGGACACAGGCTCCGGGACATCGAGCATCATCCTCTCCTGACCGACAATGACAATTATGATTCTGCATCCTCCTCGTCCTCCGAGGCTGACATGGTAGACAGGGTGTGGTTCATCCGTGATGGCTGTGGCATGGTCTGTGCTGTTATGACATGGCTTCTCGTCATCTATGCAGACTTCGTAGTGACCTTCGTCATGCTGCTGCCTTCCAAAGACTTCTGGTACTCCGTGGTGAATGGAGTCATCTTCAACTGCTTGGCGGTGCTCGCACTGTCATCCCACCTAAGAACCATGCTCACTGACCCGGTGAGTACACAGCATCTCTGGCTTAGAGCATTCTCATGTATTGATGCTGTCAAAGAGCAGCACACGGCATTGGCACAGATATGCACAACATGGAAAGTGTTGGGCTCATCTCTGGAGCAGATTCCTGTGGCTTGTGAGTAGAGGCAGCTCCTCAGTTCCTAATGCCATGAAGGCTCAGTTCAGAGCTTCCAGGTCAGGGATAGCAGCTTCTCAGAAGCTCAACATGCCCTTTTTGTGGCCACCCCAGGGGAGATGGCTGGGGCTTCCTCCTGGCAAGGGCAATCTGAAGGCCACGTGGGAGCAATTCCGACAAGCAGCCACTGTACTGCAGGTGTATGAAGCCAAGGGTGTTCCTTCCAACAAAGTTCTCAGCTTCTTTTCAGCACTAACCATGACACTGGCACAGGGTTCCATGTAGTGACTTGTGTTTGTATCTGCCAGTTTCTTCCCAGGAAGGTGACAAGAGAGGAGTGCTAGCTGTTAAATTTTTGCTTAAATTGGAAATAAAGAAGAAAAGAGGCAGATGAGACATAAGACTAAGAGACGTACTAGACATACTAAGCAGTTCATTATAGGCCCAGCAGAGTAAGGAGACTAAAGGAGAAGAGAAACAGGGTTAATGGCTGACCGCCATGGCCGGTCGCCATAGAGAGAGAGAAGCAGAAGCAGACAGAGAAGAGAGTGTAGAGAGAGCATAAATGGACAGGGATCTGTCTTTTAAAGGGGTACTCTGCACCTGCGTGCAGACTTAGTTCCCATGGAACCCTGGGTACTGACGAGGGTACTGCCTGTTCCACCAGGTAACAGGGGCAGGCCAGCATAATGCCTGAACCTTTCACTAGCTGTACAGCTCCTTGTAAATCAGTGGTTCTCAACATGTAGGTAGCAACGCCTTTGGGTTGCATATCAGATATCCTGATTGATTCTAATTCATAACAGTGCAAAATTACAGTTATGAAATAATATTATGGTTGGGAGATCACCATAACATGAGGTCACAGCATTAGGAAAGTTGAGAACCACTGTTGTAAGCTTACATTGCCATCTAAGGTAGAGGCAAGACTGTCTGGCCTCACAGGCTGCCTCTCTGCCATGTTGGGATCCACAGCATAGCCTTTGCTTTCTCTCCTGTCTATAGATGGAGATTCTGTCACACCTGATCCCACAGCCATTTAGTCCCAAATAAACACAGAGGCTTAAATTAATTATAAACTGTTTAGCCAATGGCTTGGGCTTCTTATTGGTTAGCTCTCAATTATTAACCCATTTCTATTAATCTATGTATCTCCACATGGTCTTGGCTTACCAGAGAATGCCCAGGTGTCCTACCTTCCTGGTAGCTACATAGTGTCTCCTGACTCTGCCTCCTACCTTTCTCAATCCCTGTTTGGATTTCCGGCCTGGCTAAATCCTGCCTGTCTATTTGGCTGAAACAGCTTTATTCGTCAACCAATAAGAGAAACATAAATTCACAGCATACACGAGGACATCCCCCATCACCTCTCTGAATCACCGTGGCCTTGGCTAGCCTATCCATGAGAACAGAACTTGTCAAAGACTTCACCTATGGTACATAGTCTGCCAATGGCCTGATGTGCTTATGGGGCCTCTGGCCACACTAACTTCCTTCCTCAAACTCAGTACACTTGGGACTTCAGAAGCCTTTGTTTTCCTGAAACAGGGTCTCACTGTATAGCCCAGTCTGGGTTCAAACTCAGCCATCCTCCTGCATCTGCCTTCCCAGTGCTGGGATTATGGGCATGTTTTACTGGTTTTTATTTTATTTATTTTATTTTTATTTATTTATTTTTTGTAGGAGAGGGGACCAGAGCGGTTAACAGAGGGTAGCCCTATATAGCTAGCTGGCCTGAAACTCACTATGTAAATTAGGCTGGCCTCAGACTAGTGGCAGTTCTCCTGCCTCTGCTCCTAGGCTCCTAGAGTGCTAGGATTATGAGTGTGAGCCTTGTTTTATTGTTCTGCCTTCCTTTCACACAACCTGAACTCAATCTGTATGCACAGGGGGCTGTCCCCAAAGGCAATGCCACAAAGGAATACATGGAGAGTTTGCAGCTGAAGCCTGGCGAGGTGATCTACAAGTGCCCCAAGTGCTGCTGCATCAAGCCAGAGCGTGCCCACCACTGCAGGTATAGCCTCTGCTCTAGCAGAGCCCAGCCCAGGTCCAGCACCCAGTCAGCACCTGTAGTCTGTGGGAGTTTGCAAACAGGTCCCTTCCCTGTTGCAGGAAACAAGTGGATAACAGCCAAAGGAAGTGACAAGGTGTCTACTTATTTTCCTGGCCTGGTTGCCATGGGCTGGCACATGAATTTTGTAACTAGAGAAAACAGGCCTCTGTATGGTTGTTGCCCTTCATGCCTGACAGGAGCTGCAGACGAGATGCAGGCTCCTGTAGACATACATGCTGTCTGACAACAGTCTAGCCCACAAACATGTACATTTGAGCATCAGCCTCTCTTGAGTTCCATCTGCTGGCCTTTGCTGCAGTCTGTCATTTGCCCTGCTGTGCCCGGACTTGGTTTTAGACACGATGCTGTTCCTTGGGTGTACTGATACTAGGTGTGGAGAATGAACCTGGAATACTTCTCCATTCCTAGAAATCTGTTGAACTTCCCTGTCCTTGGACCAAGTCCTTGTGTGTGCACAAAGATATAGTGTAACCTCCTCTTGAAGTGTCTTCCTCCTACTATTTGGGTGTCCACCTGGCAAGTGTGGAGAAAGTATGGCCAGAAAGCAAACAAAGGTGCCATAGCATAGGGATAGAGCAGTGGCCTTGGGCTGGGGGTGGCAGTGGGGAGTGATTGGCTATGGGCATGAATTCCCTTAGGGGTTGTGTGTGTGCAGGAGTCACTCCATTGTGCATTTAAAGTGGGTGAGCTACTGTGGCAGGGGGTTACTAATCCAATCCATTGGAGATGATCTGGGAATGTTTTGGAAGCTATTAGATTGGCGGGGGGGCCAGGGGACATACAAAGAAACTACATCTAATAGAGTGGCTTAGTTACAGTGTCACAGTGCTTACTGGATGTAGTCAGTGATGTGAGCTGTTTGAAAAACTCAACTGGCAGCAAAGTCAAGCATGTGGAACAGTGTAGGAAAAGGCACAAGACACACGTAACTCTAGTGCTTGGGAGGCTAAAGCAGGGGGCTCACCGTGCATTTGAGGCCAACCAGTTTAAGACTTGTCACAAGTGTCAGCAGAGTGCCATGCAAAAGATGTCCCCCAGCCTCTCCCACCTAGATTTCATTTGGTGTCACTGGTTTCCCTAGAAAGCAAGGTCCTGAATGGTGCGCTCTCCTTTGCAGTATTTGCAAGAGATGTATTCGGAAGATGGACCATCACTGCCCATGGGTGAACAACTGCGTAGGAGAAAAGAATCAGAGATTCTTTGTGCTCTTCACTGTGAGTGGAAATGTTTTATGGAGACTGTATTGAACTGGATGTTCTAAAAATTGAACCTACTGGAGTTGGGGGAGGTATTTAGCCTGGCTCCCACCTCCTCAGGGCTGATGGCTGTGTTGGCACATGCAGGGCTCAGTCCAGGGGTGACTGTTGCTACTTTTATTACGTCACCTGTTGGCTACTGATTTGTCTGTCCCCCTTTCAATCTCCATTGTCATGTCATACACAGGGCCTTCACACATACAACTCATTTTCCCCCTCTTTATTTTGCCATGCAACCATTGGGCTTGATCCACTGTGGTCTTGGATCAGCTACCAGCAACTACAATTCACTTTTCCATACCACCTTTTTCCTGCTGGGGGTGGTGTATGTGTATGTGTGTCTGTGGGGGGGGGGGGGGGGGGAGGAGAGAGCACAGTCAGCCTCTGCATATGGGATGACAAATTGTTAAAAACAGCTAACCCATCTCCTTCCTTCTAGATGTACATAGCTCTGTCTTCAGTCCATGCTCTGATTCTCTGTGGGCTTCAGTTCATCTCCTGTGTCCGAGGGCAGTGGACAGGTAACTGAGGCTGTGTGTGTCATTCCTAAAAGTACTGCAGTATGAGGAGGGTCCCAAGGGAGTCAGACTCCTCGATGGGAGGGGAAGCCTTACTCATAATAACCTGAGTTTTGTTTGTTGGAGTTCTGTTTGTTTGGTTTGGTTTTTTTGAAACAGGGTCTAAGTTTGTATCCTAGGTTGGCCTTGAACTCAGGGATGATTCTTTTACCTCAGCTTCTTGGTGTTGGGACAACAGGTATAAGTCATTGTGCCTGGTAAAAAGTTGACATTTCGCCAGGCATTGGTCCACACTCCTTTAATCCCAGCACTTGGGAGACAGAGGCAGGCGGATCTCTGTGAGTTTGAGGCCCGCCTGGTCTCCAGAGCGAGTGCCAGGATAGGCTCCAAAGCTACACAGAGAAACCCTGTCTCGAAAAAGGGGAAAAAAAAAAAAAAGTTGACATTTCTTAAGATCAGAATGTAGTAGTTTCACCCTTGATATCCCTCATCATTGAATTCCCCACTCAAGACATGACTAATTTTTGATAAATCATTTTAGCTACTTGCAGACTTTGGACACTAAAAAGGGCCAGGATTGCCACTGTTCCATTGGCTCTGTGTTTGCTTTCTGGCTAGCTTAGTTGGTCACTGTCCACCGCTCTCTTAGCATAGCCTGATGGGTTATCCAGATAGATGTAGTCCAGACAGGCCTTGACTAGCAACTGAAGGAAAGGCAAGAACTCTTGTGACAGTGCCTCCAGTGTAGAAACACCCATGTAGGCACACAGTTAGATACATGAGTGTCCATTCGGGACGGACTCTCATACCTCAGGGAAACCAGGCACAGCTGCTCAGGTGGTTGAGGCAGGAGGATCAGAAGTTCAAGGCCAGCCAGGCAACTTAGTGAGACCTTATCTCATAAAGAGAGCTGGGGGTGTAGCTCAGTGGTAGAATGCTTGCCTGGCATTTGTAAAGCCTTGAGTACAATCCCCAGTGCAGTAAGAATTTCAGGGAAGATGACTTCTAAGGTTGCTTGCTGTCTGGCAAAGGTAGACAGGCTGTGTGCCAGCTTCTTGGAGAACTCAAGTGGACCTTGTGCAGCAGGAACACATTCCTTCCAGGAAACACTGCAGGTGCCAGGGGTGCATGAGTGTAGGGCTCCCTGTGGCATAGGGTGCTTATGCTGTGCTGACCACCTCACTCTCATCCCCAGAGTGCAGTGACTTCTCACCTCCCATAACTGTAATCCTGTTGGTCTTCCTGTGCCTTGAGGGCCTCCTGTTCTTCACGTTCACTGCAGTCATGTTTGGCACCCAGATCCACTCAATATGCAATGATGAAACAGTGAGTCTTGTTGTTCTGTGTCTGCAGAGGGGTGGGGGTCTGATTCGGAGTTCCGGGTGGCCTCGGTCCCCACAGGTCTGTATTTGCTGCCCCCTCCACTGGCACAGTGTAGTTTCTGGGCCCTGGATTGATTTAAGTTAGATAGGCCAAGCAGGCCCTGGGTCAGAATGTTCAGCAGGTCTCAGGAACTCAATTGCCCTCCTATCCTTGCAGACCTGGAGTAGGTGCTGCGTAAATACGTGAGTGAGTAGGAATGCAGAGGGCCACTGTGCCTGTTAAGAGCAACAGCCAGGCTGACTTTGAGGCTGCTCCATGCAGATGGCTACAGCCTGGCTGTGCATCTGAGACAGGGAGGAGCACTCACAGTGCCCAGCTCCACACAGGCTTTGGAGGCCTGGCAGCAGGCTCATATATAGCCATGAATAGCTGTAGCAGCAGGCTGTCTGCGGGTCTCTCCTCACTGCTCCTTCTGCTTCCAGGAGATCGAGAGGCTGAAGAGCGAGAAGCCTACATGGGAGCGAAGGCTGCGGTGGGAAGGGATGAAGTCTGTCTTCGGGGGCCCCCCCTCCCTCCTCTGGATGAACCCCTTTGTTGGCTTCCGATTCAGGCGACTGCAAATGAGGGCTAGGAAAGGGAGCCCTGAGTTCTCTGTATGAGCCTTCAGGGCAGGAATGTCTGCAGACATTTGATGCTCACTGGCCTGCAAGCACAACAGCCTTGTGGGTAGATGGAGCTGGCCAGCTGACGGGGCCATGAGCAGCTTCATGGACTTAGGGCCACAGGCACTTGTCAGTTTTTGTGTGTACTGCCAGAAGAAGCATGCAGCCCCAGGAGGCCATCTTACCACCATCCTGACACTTGGGATGTCATGTGGGTTGTGAGCATCCCACAGGAGGAGCTGCTTCTCAATCATGAAGAAAGCCAGCATAGCCACTGCTAGGAGTCCGGCTGGCCCATCCCCAGCACACTCCCTTACTAGAAGGGGTTCCACAGAGACTGTGGCTTGGAGGGCTCCAACACCTAGCACTGAACAGTGAAGATGGCTTCCAGAACACTCCTTGCTGTCCCAGAATGGGCATCCTTTGACCCTTCCAGCAAGTCTGTATGTGCTCATCTGTGTGTCTCTCTGTGTGTGTGTGTGTGTGTGTGTATATGTGTGTGCGCGTGTGCATGTGTCAGAATCGGCAGTGTTGTTCAGGCACTCGTGTGGTAGACAAGCTGTCTTTCAGACTCCAGTGTTTCAGGGAAGTGGGACGCACTGCTGGCCCTTGCTGGCCTTCTATGAATGTATCATACAGTGTCCAGATCCAAAGAACAGGCATGCCTGGCATGGGCCCACCCTCCTGCTTTTATTTCACTGAAAGTGTAGTGTTCGAGGGCAGTGAGCTGAGGTTTTGTTGTTCCAGCCAAACTAACAGCATGCAACAGTCCCTCAACAAGGAAGGTGGTGCCCTGTGCTGAGGCCCAGCACTGTAGGGGAGGGGGCCATGGGGAGCTCAGCATGAGAGAAGCAAGCTGCCTTGGGCCCGTTTGGGCAGGTGCTGCAGGGGTGACAGCCTGGTGCCTGAGCTGTCAGAGCACTGACATGACGACTTTATTTCTGTACCCATGGCACTGCAGTCAGAGTGGACCCTTGGTGCGGGCTTAGAATTACGTCAGTACACACACAGCTCCCCTCAGGGGACTTGCCTTAAACTTCTAGGTTGTTCCTTTGCTGCTGAGTGAGAGTGGTCTGACAGAGACTGGGGACTTCCTGTGAGTCCACTCCTGTGCAGAGACACAGTGTTTCCCTGTTGGGACCAGCTGCCTTTCTGTCCCTGTGACACCATGACTGTTTTCGGTGTCAGTCGCTTTTGCCCTGCCCTCATCTGGGCTCCTATGCTACTGAGGTGAACCCCAGGGACCTGTGAGCCTAGCCCTAACGCAGTGAGCAAACTGTGGGGCCCGAGTCACTGCAGAGGGACAGCGTGACCTCAGATTGTCTCTGCATTCATTTGCACATGTGTCTGAGCATGCAGGCTCTGGTGGTGTCACCCTCCAGTGTGGAGTCTGTGGCGGTGAATCCAAGCTGAGTATACTTGACTTTTCAATTCCTCAGTGTGATTTTATATGAAATAAAGTAAACCGTCCACAGTTCTTACCCTCCTGCAGCCCTCTTCTTCCTGGGTGGCCCACCTTGCTTTTCTCCAGAACCTCCTGCTGTGTGCCTGTGGTGGGATGTGGGCATCCAGCACAACTCCCAGAGTAACCTGTGTAGCTGTTGCCTGGCTAGGATTTTACTGAGACCCCTTAACTTTCTTCTAAATAGCCTTGGGGATTTTTTTTTTAAGTGTATTTTAAAATAAAAACTAGAGCTGAGCATAGAAGCTGGTATTTATAATGTCAGCCCCCAGGAAGCTAGGGCAGGAAGATTGATTGACAGCAGTTGAGGCCAGTCTGCCTACAGAGTCTAACCCAAACATTCAAACAAATACTATTAAAAACCTTTCTGAGCCTGGCAGTAGTGGTGTATGCCTTTAATCCCAGCACTTGAGAGGCATAGGCAGGCAGATCTCTGAGTTCAAGGTCAACCTGATCTGCAGAGAGTTCTAGGACAGCCAAGGTTACAAAGAGAAACTCTGTGGGGGCAGGGGGGGGGATGGGGCAAACAAAACCTTTCCATAGGCCTGGTATAGTGGTGCATGCCTTTAATCCCAGCACTTGAGAGGCAGAGCCAGGCGGATCTGAGTTCAAGGCCAGCCTGGGCTACAGAGCCAGTTCCAGGACTTCCAAGGCTACACAGAGAAACCCTGTCTCAATCCCCTCCCCCCAAAAAGAAAGAAAAAGAGGGGAAACTGCATGAGAAGGGACCCAAAATGGCCTCTTCATCTGTACAGCCTTGGGTGTGCTGTGCGGATACTACCATGAGAGGCCCATGGTGGCTTTCCTGGCAGGAACACAGGATGCCTAGCTCAGCTATACATTTAGCTGTGACCCTGTCTGCCCCTCCTGGGATGTTAGGAGGGTTCACCATACAGAAGCAACAAGGACTGGTGGGAAGGTGGATAAGGCCTAGGCAGGCTATGGCTGCCACTGAGGCTGCCACTGTGTTACCTATGGACTCCAGTCAGCTGCTGTGGGGAGGGGGAGAGCGCTAGTGGCTGAGCAGCCTGGCTGTTCTGGCGGAGGCACAAGCCCCACAGAATCCTGAGGACCCAGTGGCTCCTCAGCTGTTAACTGCCTAAAGCACAGACAAAGACACAGACCCCAGAGGGAAGACTTGATCCCACAGCCCTGCGCCTGCTTGGGGAAAAGGGCTGTGTGAGAGGCAACAGGGACCAGTCTTATAATCGCTCACGTGACTTTCTAGAAAGTCTAGGAGGCTGTGAAGGAGCTTGTTCGAGGCATGCAACCCCACAGATCAGAGGTGGGGGAAGCTCTTTGCTTCCTATTGGTGTGGGGCTTGCTACCTTTGTTCCTGCCCTGGGCAGTGCACTTTCTTCATTGTGCCACTTACATTATGAGGCTGGTTACTGCTAAAGAGGAGGGTCTGTAGCTTTTGCAGGACCTAGCCTCCATTCGTCATGTCACCATGTACACTTCCTCACCCCTCTACCCTGGGGTCTACGTCCCTCCTGGTACAGCCAGCTGTCCAGGGTTCAATCTGCTTGAGGTTCACATCTTCTAGATGGATGTGGAACGATGGACAAGGTTTTGTCCTCAGATTCTCGCCTGAGATTACTTGGCTAGACCCACCTACATCCCCACCTCCCATTACACTGTCCATGGGCTCCACTCTCGTGTGTCTGGTTTTAAGTGACTTTAATTTATTCCACATAGTGAAGTTCAGCTCCAGGTCTCAGACTCAGCCTTGCTTGTCCTGCCCTGTGCTGTTCCCCTGGGATCCTGCCTGCTCATTTGGTCCTGGGGAGCCCCTAAGTGTGCACCTTCCTTTCTGCTGCTTTCCTCTAGCTTGTGAGTTAAGTGTGGTCCTGCCTAGACCCACCCTTGACCCCCAACCCTATTTTATTTTGTCATCTTCCAGAAAACCATCTCATTTCTGATTTCCAATACTCATATGTTTTGTTGTTTGTTTTTAGACAGTGTCTCACAGTCTAGCCTTGGCTGGTCTAGAATTTGCTTTGTAAATTAGGCTGGGCCCAAACCCACAGAGATCCACCTGCATCTGCCTTCCAGGTGAATTTTAAGGTGTGCACCACCCTGAGCCCCAGAATCCCCCTTTGTCTCATTACTCAGCTGGCTTAGCATTCCTACACGGCCCTGGGTTCTGCCTCCACCTCCCGGGTGCTGGGATTACAGGTGTACACCATTGTCCCCAGAACCTTCTCAGATACCTTATTTGGGCATGTGACAGTTTCAGGCCCAGGAGTTTGTGGCGCTCTGTGCCATGGGACAGGGCATCAGGGGTCTGCCATAGAGATGGGGGTGGTGGCACCAGCACAGGCTTTGATGCTTCATCCTTGTCCTTTTCCTCCTCCAGTTCTGTGCTCTCTGGCTGCCACTGCAGCCTCTTCCTCAAGGAAGGACACTGAGAGGCCACTTGGACTGTGGGATGAAGGAGACCCCAAGATTTCCAGAGTAAACTTCCCCTCTCTGTGTCAAGGAGCAGAACCCAGGTGCCTGGCGTTCTCTCATGGAGCCCTTCAACCAGTTGGTATTCAGAAACTGAGAAGCCCACTATCGCTGAGAGGTGTTGTAGACAAGGTGGCACTCCACAGGTTGGGAAACAGAAGCTTGAAGTTTTCCCAGTGTGCCCTATCAGTTGAGGAAATCATTCTCTTATATTGCTCAGGACATATCCCAGGTCATCAGGCCAGTGCTGCTCACTGAACATGTGGCCTAGGGAGATGGCTTGGTTAGTAAAACATTTTCTTTACGAGCATGAGGACCTGAGTATGACCCCTAGGGGTAAAAAAAAAAGCTAGGCATGGTGTTGCCCGGCTGAAATCCCAGCACTGGGGAGGTAAAGACAGGTGGGTTCCTGCAACCAGCCTCACCTGAGGTGAGCCTGCTTCGAAAACAAGATGAGGGCAGGAGAGATTGCTCAGTGGGTAAAGGCACCTGCTGATGACTCAAGCTTAGTCCCTGGGACCCACAGGATAGAAAGAGAACTAACTACAGTAATTGTCCTCTGACCTCCACACACATGCTATGACATGTGTACTTCCCACATAATTAAATGTATAATAATTGAAAGGAAACCCCCAAATGTTGATAGTAGTGCTCAGATTGACCTGTGGCCTTCACAAGCGTGCGCCCACGCACAAACACATGAAACTTGTGTCCTTTGCAAAGAATTACGATGCATGGTTTCCTTGACTCTCACTGCTGTACCACTGTGTACATGCGAAGCAGGCTGAGGGCACCTAGGCAGCAAGCAGTGGTAATGCTGTTTAACAATGAATAACTTTAGGAAAATTGCAGTGCACATAATTGCAAGCATCAGGATGCCTGCCACTCACCCAGCCACAGCTCCACAAGGACCAAGAGCTCACACCATGGCAAGGGGTGGGCATATCTCTTCCTCTAGGAACAGGCTAGAAGAGAAAAAGTAGTTTCTACAGTGATAGATGGTGGCCACCAGGGGGCACCAGGAGACAGCAAATGCCTGCATGCTACTCAGGCCCCTCAAAGCTTGCTTTCTCTTTTTAAAAAAATGTGTCTGTGTGAAATATGTGTGTTGAGAGCCTGAGAGGCCAGAGCCCCAGAGTGTGGGATTCTGTAGAGATGAAGTTACCTGACTGACATGGGTTCTGGAATCAAACTCAGGTCCTCTACAAAAGCAGCAAGCGCTCTTCTTAACTGCTGAGCCATCTCCAGCCCCATCAAACCAGGCCTGAAGAAAGTCCTCTTGGCTCAGTGGTTAAGGGCACTGGCTGCTGTTTCAGAGGACCTGGGTTCAATTCCCAGTATCCATGTGGTGGTTCACCACTGTCTGTAACTACAATTCCAGGGAATCCAATGTCCTTTTCTGGCTGCCTGAGGCACTGACCATATATACATACAGGCAGGCTAAACATTCATACACAGAAAATAAAAATAAATACATCTTTAAGGGGGACCTGGGGAGATGGCTAAGCAGTTAAGAACACCTGTGCTCTGCGGAGAACCTAGATTCCCAGCTCCACATTGTGGCTCACAATCACTCCCAGTGCCGGGGAATGGAACATGATGTCCTCTGCTGGCTTCCACAGACATCAGGCTCTCACACATATATAAGTATGCCTGAAAAACATCCATACATGCAAAATAATATAAATCTTAAGAATTTTAGTGGGGGCATGGTTGGAGAGATGGCTCAGTGGTTAAGAGCATTGGCTGCTCTTCCAAAGGACCTGGGTTCAATTCCCAGCACTCACATGACAGCTCACAACTGTCTGTAACTCCAGATCCAGGGGATATGACACCTTCAGACATACATGTAGGCAAAACACTAATAATGCACATGAAATAAACAGGCCTGTCATGACACTAAAAGAAGCGGATGGTGGGAGTGGGCACATCAACGGGGCCCTCATAAGTGTGAGACAGGAAGGGCTTTGAGGGCCAGATGAGGGAGGAGCCCCCTAGGCAGTTTCAATGGCTCTGGGACAGGGTCTAGTGAGTGGCAGTCACTAGTGTGGAATTTGGGCTCCTTGTGGACACAGAACACTTGGATAAGAGCTGGGAAATTCTTCCATCCCAGAGGTGTTGGGGGAGTCACAACAGGGAGGGTAGTGGCAACAGGGATAAGTGGCTGCCCTCAGGGCCCCACCTGGGAGAAGCCCAGTCATCTGAGAGCATAGGCTGTGAGAGTTTCCCTGTCCTTCCTCCCTGGGTAGCACACCTATCTGGATGGTCTCCTGCACCAAGCTATCAGCCACCCACACCTCAGTGCAAATGAGCTCATTGCTTTCTAGCTTTCCCCTGTTTGCCCCTCCCTGGTCAGTGGTACAGGCACATAGGCATGAGAAAGGCCATTATGGTCTCCTGAGCTGAGCTCTGTTTCAGGAACAGATTTGGTCAGAGACAATGGCCCTGGGAACCCCTGGGCACAGGGCAGCAGGCCTTCTGAGTTCACCGCAGCCAGAAATGAGCAAAGCTGTCTGCCTATCTGCTGCTCCCTGGCTGTGTGACTTGGGGTGAGCCCCTTGACATCTCTGTGCCTTAATGTATTACTTTGTAAAATGACACAGGCAAGCTTACACAGGTTAGCTCCTGCCTTGGCAGCTGTTGGGGGTCAGTAATGAGGAAGCACACAGCTAAGGGGGACCCCTGGCACACAGCAGACCTCAAGAAACAGCAGCCAGTGATGACCGAGGGGTGCTCTACAGCACATACCTGGGGTAGAGAGCTTAAGTCCTTGCCCCATTGGCCCAGATCAACCTTTGTGAACCCAGCTTTCCCGGGTCACATGGCGTCCTCACTCAAGACCAGCCTGCCAGGGCTTTTGTGGGTTTTTAAAAAGTAAATACAAATTTAACCAACTAAACAAAACCAAGTCCATTTACAAC